ATGAAATAAATAAAATAAATGTCATAAACAGTATTTATCTATTTACGTTTTCCTTGCAATTTACGATACAACAAAACAAGCTAAAACTTTACAATTTTGAAAATTTATAACATTCTAAATTTGATAAATTATTATTATAGAAAATTACAGCAAGAAGAAAAAATATGCTTGTAGTATTAATAGTTTGAGAGCATTCTGAATTTGTTAATTTGGAGAAAATAACACTTTTTTATTATTGATGTATGTCGTATTTTTAATTATTATTAATTGTTAGCCTGGCTTATTACTATAATCATCGGAGTTTCAGAAAAAATTCGAGTTGGTTCTTTATTTTTGAATTAAATATTTATTTAATAATTATAAATATTTATAAATATTTATTATTATAAATATTTATTTATTGAAAAATATTAACCAAATAACAATTTAAAAAATAAAAATTAAATCACATGACGTGGTCTTTTAACGCTAAGCAAACAAATTTATATAACTTTTGGCTTACGGGCTTAACATAACTAGTCATAACATTTTAGGCAAGAAAAACTAAAAAACTCAAAATGATAAAACTTTGACTTGATTTTCTTCACTTGTATTATTAAATTTTACTTATGTCAAAAGTCTGCCTCAAACAATTACTACATTTTTCTATTTATTCCGAAAACAAAACCTTAGTCTACAACAGATTTAAAGAAAAAAATAGATATTTTTATTTATGTTTCTATCAATTATCTATTTTCCAAAACATTTAAAAATTAATTGACATAAAACCAAACATGAAACAAATAATTTAATCAATAATAAAAGAATTTAAATAATAAAAAACGCAAATGAAAACAAAAAAACGAATAACGTGCTTTTTCCCTTAGTTTAAAAGTGAAAAATCAAATAGTTTTTTAAAAAAAATCTAATTATTATGTATTTACTGAATTTTACATTCAATACTATTTCAGTTGTATAAAATTATAGTTGCAATTAACTTAAAACATTTAGGAATATATATTATTAATGAATTAGTTTTATTCATAATTTATAAACAAATTCTGACGCTTCCAGGATCCGAAAGTTTTTCTAAGTATTTAAATTACCTGTAGATTCGAGTATCAGGCATTAAAATGACTAATTATAACTTATTGAACTATAAAAATATATAAATAATGAATGAAATATATAGAACAAAATCTAACGTCTGAAACATAAAAATAAAATTTGTCTAAAAACAATAATAATTTAATCTTGTCATTAAATTATTGATTTAAAATACCTGTTTTCATCGAAGGACAGTATCATGATCTCCGTTCCGTCAGGAGATATTTCGAGCTCGAAATTCTAATTTTAGAATTGTTCTCAAAACAAGCATTTTTTAAAAAAATTATATGAAACAAATAAAATCGGAATGGTAACGACTACGTAGAAAAATAAGAACAAAAGTTGTCAGAATACAAGCATCAGTTTTGATGCTTATATAGATATTAGTTTAATTATAAAAAATACTAAATTTTTTAACGTGACACGTGATAAACAGCTGCCCGTACGTCCTTGAAAGTAATGCCATCTTACGGAATTTAAGTAAGTGAATAACTTAACGACTGTATATTAGACAAAAATTATAAAAATAACTTTAAAAACAAAATTTAAAAAATTGTTTAAAGGAAATTTCATGACCGCCTGTAACTTTTGTTGTCGTTGCGATCACGGTCTATATTGTAACTAACTAAAAGAATGAAAAACAGTTTAAAAGGAAAAAAAATTACACGTTTCGGAAATTGTTTACTTCTTGAAAAATTAATTGCTTTTAATTTCTAAAGAAAAATGAAGCGAAACGTTTTAGTTTTAAAAAAATGTTACGTTAGTTTTGTGGCTTTTTTTGTAAACTAGCGTGACAAAAACGCCATCTCAAATCGTTCAGTTGAAAATACTTAGTTGTTCTTCAAAAAGATGGCGCCACCATAAAATTGAAATAAAATTTTATTCTATTATCATTGATTACGTAATATGTATAAAATATCTTTTTTAAATATCTTTTTTATAAATTTTATTTTTTAAAAAAGGAAAAAAACGTCTTTTCAATTTCAATACTTATATATTGCTTAGTTTTCAAAGAATGTTCTTAATCTTTAATGTAGAAATTTTGTAATTAATTTTAAATCGCTCTAAGAATTTTGTTTAATTTTATTGAATGTTTCTTAACACTAGAAAGACTGAAACTTAGTATATACCTATATTGCTCAAAAGCAGTCAAAATGACTGGATTGTGAAAGAATAAATAATGTTTAACGGAATTTGTTTAAAATTAATTTTTAATATTTTTCTATATTATTTACAGTTATATGACAAGTTATTAGTAAATATTAGCAACAAAAAAAAATTATATGTNTCGAAATTCTAATTTTAGAATAGTTCTCAAAACAAGCATTTTTTTTTTTTTTTTACATTTCTATGAAACAAATAAAATCCGAATAGTAACGACTACGAAGAAAAATAAGAATAAAAGTTTTCAGAATCTAAGCATTAGTTTTGATGCTTATATAGATATTAGTTTAATTTTAACAAATATTAAAGTTTTTTAAGTGACACGTGATAAACAGCTGCCCGTATGTCCTTGAAAGTAGTGCCATCTTACGGAATTTACGTAAATGAATTACTTAACGGTTGTATATTAGACAAAAATTATAAAAATAACTTTAAAAATAAATTTTAAAAGATTGTTTAAAGGCGATTTCATGACTGCCTGTAATTTTTGTTGGCGTTGCGATCACGGTTTGTATTGTAACTTACTAAAAGAATAAAAAACAGTTTAAAAGGATAAAAATCACGCGCTTCGGAAATTGTTTAATTTTTGGAATTAATTGGTTTTAAGTTCCAAAGAAAAACAAGAAGAGAAACATTTAAGTTTAAAAAAAATGTTACGTTGTTGTGTAAGTTTTGTTGCTTTTTTTGTAAAATAGCGTGAAGAAAACGCCATCTCAAATCGTTCAGTTGAAAATACTAAGTTGTTCTTCAAAAAGATGGCGCCACCATAAAAATGAAATAAAATTTTACTCTATTATCATTGATTACGTAATATGCATAAAATATCTTTTTTTAACAAAAACATATAAATTTTATTTTTTAAAAAAGGAAAAAATGTTTTTCCAATTTAATTACTTATATATTGCTTAGTTTTCAAAGAATATCTTTAATCTTTAATGCAGAAAGTTTGTAATTAATTTTAAATTGCTTTAAAAATTTTGTTTAATTTCATTAAATATTTCTTAACACTAGAGAGACTGAAACTTAGTATATACCTATCTTATCCAAAAGCAGTCAAAATGACTGGATTGTGAAAGAATGAATAATGTGTAAAGAAATTTGTTTAAAATTAATTTTTAATATTTTTTATATTATTTATAGTTATACAACAAGTTATTAGTAAATATTAACAATAATAAAATTATATGTTGTGCAAAAAGTCACAAAATTCTAAGAAATTGCGTCATTATATGCATCATTGTTTTTCTTATTGAAATTAAAATGCAGTCAAAATGACTTCCTTGGGCAATCTAGTGTTAAGTTATAGCAAGAAAAAAAACGAAAAAAAAAAAGTAAAACAAAATAAAAATTAGGTTTTTTAAAAAAGTCCATATTTCTGTAAATTTTTAAACTAGGCTTACGAAATTTTGTGCAAATATTTCATATAATAACCAAAATAATTGTTACTAGTTATAAATTTATTGCGACTTCTTAGGTATAGGGTGTTTGAAAACACTATTTTCCGTATGTAATTTATTCTCGGTCCCTCAAACCTCTAACAGCTTTAAACGTCATTGATATGAATAATAAATCGCATTATCTAAATACTATAAGTTATAAAGATAATTTCTTTAGAAATATGAATAAATGTAATAGTATGGAAATCTTTCTCTTATGTTATCAACACAAGACATGATTTTTCTTATATTATTTCAGGTTAACCCCATTTACTATTTCTCATAACTAACAATGCTTTCAACATTGATTCAATAAGGGGAAATATTTCAAATAAGTAACAATAGGTAACTTTTTATTCCAATTTTTTTAAACAGAAAATGCAGAACCTTATTTTGTTTCTAACTCAATTTAGTTTAAAGTTCTCTAAATTCTTTTTAACTACTTTAAATTAAAGTTTTAACATTTATTTTAAATTCATAGCATAATATACTAAAAAAATAAATTAATGAACTAGGAGTGTTTTTGCTTTCATATTTATTTTTTAACCATCTTTAAAAGAGCACGAAAAAGGTATACAGCAATTAACAAATAAACTTATTAACTTACAAATAAATAAATATACTTATTATTTAATAACTTATATTTTTATTAAATAATAAAATTAATAAAAAGTAGCAAAAAGTAAAAGTAATAAAAAAAATACAGAAAGGAACAATTTTTTAAAATTATAAAACAACAAACTATCAATAATTTACAGAAATAAACAAATTAGCTTAACAATTACAGAAATAAACAATAAGCAAAAATATCAATTTAAAAACTGCTAAATTAACGAAACATTAAATTTTCAAAGAACAAAAAACAGCCGTTTTCACACTTTCAAGAATGTTCCACATTACCGAAATTTCTGGAAAATTTATCGATGAATTTTACCTCGAAATGCATTGATTTAAGAAATTATCTCGAATAATATCTAGCAAGGTTAATTCTATCACAAAAAAAAAAAAAAAAAAAAAAAAAAAAAAAAAAAAAAAAAAATTGAATTGAATTTATATAAATTTAACGGCCGTAAAATGAAAGAAAAGCACTACAATCAAGGTTAAACTATTTAAAGTTACCATTAACTACAGTAAAAAAAACAATTTTATTTATAGTAATACAATAGTTAAGGAAGATCATTAATCGTCAAATACCTTCACGCAATTGTCATTAGTCAATAAAAAGACTTTCTTTGCATTGTTTTTTGCAGCTATTGATTAGAGAAAACAAAGGATGGGAAAAAATAATTCAGAAATTGTATGATAATAACTTACGTATTCCGCTGACGTTAGGGAATCGGCAGACTTGTGAGTGGCACGTGCAAAATGCAAGGCTTTCTTAGCTTCTTCAATGACGTGATGTAAATCTTCCGAATCAGAATCGGACTCGTTGCTTAAGGTGTATAATCTCTGTCCATGGCTGATCAAGGAAGACTGAAATGTAAATAGGAAGGAAAAATGTTGAATGTTAAATGTTATATGAAAGGTTTCGTAATTGAAAATGTGCGTTTTAAGAAGTATTTTTATAATTTTCGAAACTATTTGATCTTCTTATTTATGGAATTAACTTTTTAAGATCATTATCTTAAACGGCAATTTGGTATTGATATAAATTTAACGAAATCACAAAAGAAGCTTAGTGAGAAAGTAATTCCTAAAATAATAGTTTTTTTTTTATTCTTCCAATGTTAGTACTTATTGTAAATAAGATTAAGTCGTTAAAGATTTAATAAAGAAGGTCAATAATAATTCTAACAAAGAAATTATAAAAAAATGGCAACGTGTTAGGATAAGAAAAATAAATTAAATTTTTTTAACATTTTTAAAAAATTAAAATTAATAACGAAACTGTAGTTTAAGAGCAAAAATTCTTTATAAACATGAATTACCAAGAAAATTCAAGATACAATGCATGTTATTATAGCTATGTCAACCAGAATAGCTGAAATTCGACTGTTTCATTCTTGACGACTAGTTTTGTAAAATATAAAAATATCTCAAAAATTTATGAAAACCCAAAATAATTAAAAAAATTGATGTTTAGATGAAGATTTTTTGTTGAAAAAGTTAAGAAAAATACTATCATTTAGTATTTTTTATCATTTTAGCAGTCTGTAATAATGATTTTCATAATTTCCTTTTTCTTTTTTTTTTTTTTTAAAAAAAGGAGGACATTTTTTATTTCTTTNTTTAACGAAATCACAAAAGAAGCTTAGTGAGAAAGTAATTCCTAAAATAATAGTTTTTTTTTTATTCTTCCAATGTTAGTACTTATTGTAAATAAGATTAAGTCGTTAAAGATTTAATAAAGAAGGTCAATAATAATTCTAACAAAGAAATTATAAAAAAATGGCAACGTGTTAGGATAAGAAAATAAATTAAATTTTTTTAACATTTTTAAAAAATTAAAATTAATAACGAAACTGTAGTTTATGAGCAAAAATTCACTATAAACATGAAATACCAAGAAAATACAAGATACAATGCATGTAATTATAGCTATTTCAATTAGAATAGCTGAAATTCGACTATTTTATTCATGACGACTACTTTTATGAAATTTAAATATATCTCAAAAATTTATGAAGAAAACAAAGTAATTAAAAAAAGTTTATGTTTTGATGAAGATTTTTTGTTGAAAAAGTTAACAAAAATACTATCATCAGGTGTTTTATCAGTCTGTAACGATTTACATAATTTTCTTCTTTTTTTTATAGAAAAGAGAGAACATTCTTTATTTCCTTACTTAATTTGTCAAGATTAATAATGACGAACATTATTCTAAGATTATTGATGGGAAAAATAAAAAGCGATCAACTTGAATAACATCGGATTTTCAGATATATTCCATTTTAAATATAATTAATTAATGCAGATGGTATTTAACGTTACAAAATCAGACCTAAATAAACATTATATTTAACAAAAAACTTTTTTCGAAGTTTTTGGATATTTGACCTCAAAATATGAGTAGTAGCCGCGATCTCGAAAATAGGGCCCTAATAGTTTCATCGGGAGAGCGGTCGAAAGTTTGGACCCTTTATAGTTAATTTTACTTTGTTGTGTATTTCGCCATGTTTGAAAAAATATTCAAACGAATGAGAAATACCTATAAAATACGTTTAGACAAAGATAATTCAAAGCAAAAAATAATTTTTGATAATTATTATTTCTTTACTATTTATTTAAAAGAATTTTGAATATTTTGAATTAAAAGGTAAGCAAACTTTTACATAATTTTAAAGAATTTAATTTTAAACGGCAAAATACTAAATTAGAACGAAATCTAATTCTTGTAAAATCAAAAATTAAATATATTCGACTAAAGATTAAATTTGGTAACTCGGAAATTATTTGACTGTTTGTGCTCAAATTTTGCTTTCTGCCATTTAAAATTATTTTTTCCAAAATGATGCACAAATTTGTACTTAAAAAAAATAAAAACTTTTTTTTCAAAAATAATAAAAAAGATAATTAAAAATTATGTTTTGCATGAAATTATCTTTGGGTAAGACAAATTTTATATCTGGGTTAAAAATATTTTCGATTTGCTTCAAAAGCTTTTGAGATATCATAAATTACATTAAAAGTAAAATTAGCATTAAGGGGTCCAAAATTTCAACCGTTCTTCTGACCAAATAATTCAGCCCGAATTTTACAAATTGCGATTACCCCCTGGTCCCATATTACGAGGATCAAAGAATCCGAATTAGTCAGGATAAAAAAAATGCTTATTCAGAGAAAACACGTTTTAGTGTCTGATTCCGTTACTTAGAATGTCGTTCGCGCCTATTAATAAGTGTATTTAAGGTTTTGCTTTTAAAACATTAAGATTGAGTCCAAGTATTTGAAAATCTGATCAGTAAAACAAAGTTATTCAGTAAGTTCACTTTTCCTTCTGCACAATTGTACTGTTGACGCATTCGTAAGAATTATATAGTGGAATGACGAGTGTATGGTAAATTGTTTTTTCAGCTTAGTGTGTTTTTAATCGTGGAATCATAATTCTCAAATATGTATCTTTGAAGGCAAATTATTTTAATCATAGTTGCAATTAAATTTTTATTTAACTTACATTTTTAATATTCTTGTAAATATTTTTACAGCATAGGATCAGGTGGTGTAAAGTGTATATAAAATTAAGCTTTTTTAGTTTTTTAAAAAGAAAAGAAAAGAAGGCTCAAAAATCAAACAATTAAATTTATTTTACCTAAACTTTTGATGCATTTTATACACAATGGATTGATATAGATTAAATATAAAGCATAAATTATAAATTTTGTTTATTTTCTTACGGTAATGCATTCAAAGGAAAATGTTTTGATGTACCCACTCTGGGTTAAAGTGGATATACTTCCAAAATTAGTATATATTTCATTAAAAAACGTAGTTAAATATTGTTTTAGACAGGAAAATGGCGTTCAGTAAATGCATCACGATTACATTTAAAAAATAATTGCTAAAAATAATTTATTTTTCAAATTTTAAAATTAAAGAGTCAATGTTCATGGCTATCAAAATAAGGTTTCACTTCGGTTTCATTTTGCTAAATTCTACTCAATTACATCAAAAAGCAATGAAAGTGTAATAGTTTTTGACTTATTTAAATTATAAATGAGAGTATAAAAATAAATGTTTATAGTAGTATTAATGTAAGTGTTTTTACTATTTGTTCTAGCAAACATGTATTTTTATTCAATATGGCTATTTTAAAAAAAAATTCCATGAAAAAACTGCCACATGTAGGCAGAAGCTTGCATGAAAACTCATCTATATCTTTAAATGTGCTTACTAAGTTGTACTATTAAGCTATTTTGGTAATTTTTTTAATCGTACTACATGTCAGTTATATATCTATTTCCCCCCTACTCTCTTATTAAAAAAATTGTGTTTTTAGTGTTAAAATTACTGTGCAGGGCTATAATCAAACAGGTAAATTATTTTTTAAAGCATAAAATTATAAAATTTAGAGCATTGGAGCTAAAGCTGACACAGAAGTAAAAAAAAAATATCCCCATCATACAATACTTAGCTAAGCCTAACCATATACACACTTTACCACACCTCAGAAAACAATTCATAATAAAAATAATTTTGAAATTTATTCTTGAATTTCTACGTATATTTGTACTTTAGATGTTCTTCTACCATTTTAAACTAAAATTAATATTCTTAATGATATTAGAAGAAAGTTCATGAACAGCTTAAATTAGCATACTGAATAAGCTACGTTCATAAATAGATAGTTTGTAAACATTAATTTTTTTTATCCGTTCTTAAACTAAAATAAAAACGCTTGTCGCAATCCCAGTAAATGTCTCTAAAAATATTAAACAAATTAGCTCAATTTAAAAGGCCATATACCCCATATACACCATATACCCCATGAACACACTTTACCCCTCCTGACCATATATATTATTAAAATATTTTCCGTTGCTCAAAGGATTTTTTTTTCGTTAATAGTTTGTTAAATAATAATTATTTATTCAGATTCTAAAGGTATTCTCCTTTCAAAATGCTATATTTTTTTGTTAAACCTTTTTACCTGTGAGTAACAAAATAGAAGTACTGTGACATTTTTTAAGCATACTCATTAAAAATTTATGAAATTATACAGACTTCTCAAAACTTGATATAAAAAGTCCTGTAAATGTTTACATATTTTTAAATAATCATTTGAAATTTACTTTAAGATATGAAAAATGTTGTTTAAATTAATCTTTTATAAAGCTATATCCAAATTTACTTCGCAAAACATGATTTTTCTGAAGAATCGAAANGTCCTGTAAATGTTTACATATTTTTAAATAATCATTTGAAATTTACTTTAAGATATGAAAAATGTTGTTTAAATTAATCTTTTATAAAGCTATATCCAAATTTACTTCGTAAAACATGATTTTTTGAAGAATCGAAAAATAAAATAACTGTTTAAAATAATTTTAAAAAATATCACTCAAAATATTATAATATGAATAGATATTGAGCTTTTTTTTAATGTATAATTATTTTAAAAAAATATACCAATAAACATTTTTAAATGAATATTACACTAAAAAATATTGTGAAAATATTTAATACACACTATCGTTTCTGAAAAATTGCTTAATTTAAAGATTTTTAAATCTGTCAGTGTTTCAAAAGTCATCAATTCGGAGTGAACATCAAACAGTGATTATTTAAATTGTTTGCTTCAAAAAATAACAAAATTGCAAATGTCAGAATAACAACAGGGAACACCATAAATATCAACTACTGTTAATAAATATATACCAAGATTAACTGATAAAAGAAGTACAGTGTCACAACAAATTATTTTTAAACTTTGAAGTTAATTTTATTAAATCCTCTTTTTCACCACCTGAATTAATCAATACAATAGAACCTCATACAAAGCACATTTAAAAAAATCAGTCAAATTATTACCAAAAATAATTATCTAATATACCTTTGATGATTTTTTAGGCGACCTTGGTGCATCGTTTTTATTCGTTTTGTTATTTGAGGAATTGATGAATCTCAGAGGTTGACCAATGGCGGATCCATAATCATCTCCAAATTCTGTCAACTTCCGAAGAGCTTCTTCATCAACTGTAGCCTCCGAATAACCTTCGCTTAAGTAAGGCATTTCCTATAAAAAGTATGATGGAATAGTTAAGTATTATACAATAGGTCCTATTATATCGGATGAAATTTCAAAATTTAAATAGAAATCATATACAGAATATGTTGCTTCACCATTTGCAAAATTAGTAATTTTAGTATGTTTTTAAAGGCCAGTTCATGTAAAATGTCAATGCAACGTACTTAAATGTGTAAAATAGATGTGTGTATATATGTGTATATATTCAGTATAAATCTTAATTGATTTTTATCAACATTGCTAGCCATAAGGTCATTGTTAATGAGTACAGTTAAACTTCCTTACTTCTTTATAGGCTATTTCTTCTAGCTTAAATGAGCCAAAAATCAGATTTTACAGAGATTATAGAGAGAAAGCATATCGAAAAAACAAATAGTCGGGAAAAATGTTTATGAAGATCAAGATAAGTAAGAGTTAATTGCATTGTTTTCGGGACAGATCTACAGATTAGCGACAGGTATAAGTCTCTATAAACTATTTTATTGTCCGGTAAAAATGCAATTTTTTACAAATGTTTTTATTTTTTTCTTATTTTACAGATTCTATCAATGTAATAAATAACCGTTCGAGTAATATGTATAATAATATAAATTGAGTAAATTGAAAACAACCGAAATGGATACCTGTTAGATAAGTGTAACTTGAAAATGAACTTCAGTTATAAAACAGATATTTTGAGGAATACTCAAAATGTTATTCATAGTGTGTTTATTTTGTATTTTATTTGGTAGTATAATATGTTGAATAATTGATATTTGAATTTTGATTTTTAAATCGATACACAACATTATGTATATACTCTATAAATGTTAATTGAAAATAAATTGTTTATTTAGAGTATTAACAAGTTATAAACTATTATAAGGTGCATTTTAATAATTATAAGTTTTGAATTTATTCAATTATTAGCAATTAGTTAATTTCAGTTAAGTTTCAACGCTTAATAATTTTTAAAATATTATCTTCATACCTAATTTTTTAAATTTAAAAAAAAAAACTATGAAAATACAATACATGCATTGAAAACTTTCGTAAATAGTTATCTACGTAAGATAAATCTTATAATTTTAAATTCATGATAAAAAAAAAAAACAATTTTAATAAAAAAACGCGTAAAAATAGTTATATGGCATGAAAAGTTAAAAATAAATAAATAAATAACAAACATAATAAATACGGAAATATATTTTTTTAAATCTATATAATAAAGAGTTTAATAAAATAATTTCATAAAACGTAACGGTATGAAACACTGAAATATAGCACAAAGAATTTCCGAACAAAAAGATTAAAATTAGTAAATCCTGATTAATTATTAAAAGGAAAAAAAGAAGGTTAAACTGATTAAAAGATAACATGAATAATCATTACCTGATAACTGTCCCAAACTTGATCCGATACCGTACTTTGCTCTTCCAAATTAGTCAAAATGACGTCACTTTCCACGGGTGATGGGATTTCGGAATGAAGGCACTCATTACAACTGTCATCAAGAGCTAAGTCTTCGCTTAAGTTTTTCAGAACTAAATCATCACCACGGGATATTTTAACCTGAAATAGAAGAATACATGATCATTGTGAATGAATAACTTTTAAATCACTGAATAAGGAATGAAGTAGTTAGCTTTTATTTTGTAGCTGTGTTAAAAGATAAACATGTCATGTAATTTGACATACAAGGAAGAGTTGTTGACATATTATAAACCCTCTAGGTTTAATGATTAAGATAATTTTCATAAGGGGGAAAAATATCGATTTTGTTCAACCAATTTATGTCAAAGCTTAGACACTTACTGTCATAAAAATCTAGATTTATGACAATTCAGAGCCTACTTTGTTCTTATGCGGAATATCAAATGAAAACTAGTAATATTTGGAGCTTGTATGATGATTATAGAGACTTGTAAATTTTTTTCAAGCACATTAGCCTAGAGCAGGAGTAGTCAAGGCCTGCTGAGGAGTGGAGTTAAGGGTTTTTATGACTTATCTAGAAATTCCATGTTTAATATCGCAATTCAAAAGTTTTAAGGTAGATTTGATAGAGTTTTGGGTGCATGTAAGGTATGAGTGAGCTAGAGGTCTTCATACTAGGTCGTGAGTTCGTTAAAACAGTCCTTTTGTTGGTTGTGGTGCGGTAGTTTGGAGAGAATGTTTACAGGTCAGGCGTTGTCCAGGTCTTCATACTAGGTTCAAAATAAAGTGGTATTCCCAACACGGCTATTAAAAAGGCAGAGTTGTTAAAATTGGAACTATGTGCTAGGTCATGGTTAAGTTGTGCGTGTATAATATAAGAGTATTCTGTTTTCAGTAAAAAAAAAAGTCGTGAGGATTTTTATCGCCATGACTCTTTTATACTTATTAAAGAGCCGTGGTGATCCACGTTCGAATCCCAGCATAGTGTGTCGATACGAATTCAACACAAGGTTTGCACCGACCACAGTGGTCACGTAAAGTATCCTCAGAGGTAGACGAATATCATGGGTTAAAAGCTCTTTGCCGTGGAAGATTTTTTTCCATGCAATGAAAATACGGGTTAGTTCCATAAAAATATCCTCCACAAGGCAAATTTCTCCAAATACTTGATCCAAGTATTCCATTGCTTTCCGGATTGGGGTTTAAAATTACAAGGCTGAAAAGTTGAACATTGGTAGTCAAAAACTCAAAATTGCATCGGCTGTTCAACGAAGGTTATAAAATTAAAAAAAAGAGCCTAATAAAAGTTAGATTTTAAGCAGTTGTTCTATGAAACAAATATCGCTCCCATATGAATATATATATATATAAATAATTATATATTGTTAATAAAATTATAATTAATTAATATTATTAATACTAATTATAATTTAAATTAATACATTGTAATTAATATATTTATTATATTAATTGTATTGTTAATTAATATTGTTTTAAATTGTTAATAAAATTTTTATAAATTGAAATTTAAAATTCGCAAACTAAAATAAATTTCCTTAAACCATATTCAAAAAAATAAAGTTTTCTATATTTGAAATATAATCACATTTTTTGATCCATGAATTGATATTATTAAGTTTGCTTTTTTTAAGCAGTATACAATTTCTGTATTTTCTTCCTTCTATTTGATATTATTTTCAATTTATATTTCAGGAATATTTTTAATTTATAAAAAATTATTCTTCCAAACCAACACTTTTAACCATTTGTATATAGAGCAGATTTATTAATTTACTTTTAATTAATTTTTTTTTAACAAAAATTGCTTCAGTTTTCAAGTAACTGCGTTATTTATTATAAAAAAATAAATAATGTTTACTATTTTGATATCTAAATGCATAGAACTGCAAATAAATTCCATTTCAAAAGATATCTCAAATAAAATAAACGAAAATAAATGATAATTGAAAAAAGTAAAAGAAAGATTACTATATGTTTGAGTAATTACTTGAAAATTCTAACCCATAACTGGGTGGTATTAAAATAGTTGTTTACTTTAACTGCACACTACTTCGAATCGCAATTTCTTTGAATGTGTAATTTAGGATATTAATTATTAATATAGAAATGCAATTAAGTGATATTATATTTAGATTTCTAAACAAACTTTTCCTCTCAGCAATATTCTGAACATGTTAAGGAATTCGTTTAATTTATATTAAACGAGTGTGTTTATTTTTTTGAACGTTTAAAATAGCAAAATATAGTTTCCATTAAAATTAAATTTTAACTATAGGAATTCTCTTTATTTCAATGGCTACTTAAAAGCTTTGACCCAAAACTTAGTGCTATTATATAATTTTTGAAAAGTTATTTTTGTTGTATCCGCATTCTAATACTGATGGTAAATGTTCTTTGAAAGTATAATTCAGAATTTTATCAATAATTTATCTAAAATTACAATAAAAAGAAATGCTGAAGAGACCAGAAGGTTCTGCTTTCTGTTCGCTTTGCTCACCAACCCCCATGACTGTTTTGCAATTTTTTTGTCTGACTATTAATAAATTGACATATCAAATTAGGAATTATTTACTTAAACTATTAGAAAAAACTAATTTTTTTTATTGTATTTACACAGATTTGGTTTTCGATTCTATTGGAATAACCTAATAGCCTAATAATTTTGCTCAATTATCATGCTAACAAAATTCACGAACTTGCTTTTTACAAAAACTTGTCAAATATTCTATGACAAAAAGAACATAATGAAAACAGAGCGAAAAATTAATTCTTAATATTGCGTTAGAATTATCAAGTGTTATTTTGTACTCTTTATTGTAATTACACGTGTTGACTGTTTACATAAAATTTATTTTAAATTATAACCGGTGTTGAATAGCCGACCCAATTCTGAATTTATGACAAGGTTTAACTCCGGAGACTAGTAATTTCGAAACCAACTCTGAAGAGAAGGAAACTCCTGGATCAAGCCTTGGGAGAAACTAGCCTTCTTGGAGACTTTTTAATGGAGCTAACCCTCATCCGCGTTACATCGAGGGGAAACCTCCCATGGTTAGCCCGAAAGCAAAGAGTATATGACCATTGATTGGTCTACCACTGAGGATATTTCACGTCAGCACTGTGAGCCAGGAGTAGAATTCTTATCAACCATCAGCCACCGCTGGGATTCGAACCTGTGTAAATTTATCGGGAGATGAATGCTCTATCCCCTGAGCCACCGCGGGTCTGCATAAAATTTATTATACATTTAAAATCGTAAAGAAATAGTAATATTATAATGAAAATTCTTTCATAAAATGTTACATAATAAACCCTTGGTAGAATGCCAGTGTTGAGTTCGATCTAGGCAACCGATTTAACACCCGGCGTATATACGCAGAGCAGCAAGGTTAGTGTTAAATCTGCCATAAATGAAAGTTCTCTCGTTGGTTGTGGTGTAGAAGTTTAAAGAGAGGGTTATTACCTCAGAGAAAATTAACATAATATAGGATCAAACATAATATAGGATGGTAAATAAATAATCCTAACAAATACCAATAATTAAGAGAAAAATAAATAACACTGCGCTGTTAGGAAAAAAAAAACTTTCAAGCCTTGACACAATTTTTACTATTTTTTGCGTAAAATAACCTCTTGAATCCTATTATGATCTTTGTTTAAGCCCATCAGTCATAGTTTTCTGGGAATACCCCGCCTCCAGATAAAGGTAAGTGAAGAGTGAAGAGAAAAAACCAGGGTCATATTCGGATTTAGGTGGTTATTTTACGTTAGAATGGTATATATGTTCAAAATGAAGAATAAAAACAAAGAAAAATTATGGACATATGAAAGAAAAAAAAAGGGGGGGGGAAATAATAAGTAAAAAAATAACAAACAACAGCTTAAAAAAAAGAAGAAAAAAAAAGGATGAAATTTTATTTAAAAAACCGGAAAAAAAAGATATAATCTTTTCTTCAGCCCACACGATTATATCCGCAAAACAGAGTNGTTATATCTTTAACTAACCCTGGGCTGATGATAGCTAAAAATATCGGGAATTCCTTTGTTTACTAAATATCATACCATGTGATTTTTCTGTCCAATGAGAATGCATGTAAAGGCAAGACGACAATTTTCGTTTTATGATATATAGAAGGATAATATTTTTTCATTTTGACTTGGCAACATATTGAAATGATCGATGAGCTCCATTAACTTACTGATTCATTTACGGATGACTGACTCAATATCAGGTGACAACTGGCAATTTCATCGCTCGCATGCAATCTGTACTTTACAGGAACACAATGCTCCTGACCCTATTTAGACTTTAAAGAGAAAGAGAGGAGAAAAAAACAGCTTTAAAAATGCGAACCATTTTTGAAGTATATTACCGAACGTCATAAAATAATATTGTACATGCTGGATCGTGACCTCAGAGGTACAAGTAAGTGAAAATAGGACAAAATATAAATGGTGGAAGAGGATTCTTCTCTGGGAATGCATTGTTCTTTCAAATATTTAATATCAACATGAATCATAATGATCTAGGATAATGCTTCAGGAAATAAATAGACCTTGTAAGTGAAATGGATTTTATTGAAATGGATGATTTTAAGTTTCGAGGTGAGGTAATTTTAATATTTAATAAAGGTCAATTAAAAGTTTGAACTTTTCTGTTTAAAATGTTCTGGATAAATAGTTTTAATTTAAAACATTTAAAGATGAATTTCTTAACAAAATTTCATGTTTTTCCCAAAGAAAACATTACTGTTACGAAGCGCAATATGAATAGAAAACCTAATACTGGATTATAAAAGAGAAGTAGACAATCTCGCCATATTTACTAATTTTAAAATTCAAAGAACTATTATCGAAATAAGTGTGCGATAATTATTGTGGCTTATGTGAGTTTATCATGCATGGTTCCCATAAGAAAATTTATTTAAGGTGTTTTTCAGACTTAATTTAAAATGTTGTTGTTACAACAGCCAAGAGAAAAATTTCCAAGAAACAGAACAGAATTTAAAATGTTGTTGTTACTACAGCCAAGAGAAAAATTTCCAAGAAACAGAACAGAAGTCAACAGAACAATTAAAGGCAGTTGTATTGTAAATTAGTTACCCTAACCATGCAAAATTTCACGACCCCGTGCATCTCTACTCCTTTTCATCAAACGTTAAATGTTTCACTTAAAATAAGAGAACCATTTTGAAGTAAATGGCTCTATTTAAACCGAAACCGAATAAATAAAAATCGTGATTATACATTATTGAATTTAAACTTTGAACTTTATAAAAAAATTAATAAAACTATTTTTTTTTAAATAAAATTTTTAAATAAGCTGAAAAGATTAAAAAAAGACGCAGAAACTTACCTCCGAATGTGATTCATCATTCTCAGAATAAAAGTTATTTTCAGAGCTTTCTAAGAATGTAGATTGTTGAGAAAAATGCCTTGATCTACTTCCGTATCCAGTAAAGGAATTAGTGAGAGTTTTTGACCTTTGACGTCCATTGTCACTGTCATTCAATGCACTCCTGGAAGACCTATTAATGAAAGCCACGAAAACATCAAAAAGCATTCTAGAAATTGTCTATAGTTAATTTTACTTTTTTTGAATTCCTCATTTTTTTTAAATTCAATTGTTTTTATGAAGTTATACCTTAAAATTTAAAATTCCGGAGAATATATAATAGAGGTTTTATCATCAAAACAAAGCTCGGAAATATTAAAAAAATTATTTGATTATTTAATCAATTTATTTTAAACCAATTAAATGAAAACTTTTAATGTAACGAAATGTTTTATTTTTAAAAGTATGTCAAAAACATATAAATTAAGGAATATTTTAAATTTTCGTGTAAAGAAAACAAACAAACAAATGTGACTACCATGTAAGAATAAAATTGTAAAATGTCTATTTACTTCTTGTTCGCAAAAGAAACAACTCATTTTATTTAAAAAAATATTGAATATCAAACTTGATTTCTAAACAACTTGTACGCATTTTCCAAATATGTGAAAGGACTTCAAAGTCCCTAGATAGCAATTTTTATCAATTAGTCAATCATCAATTATCAATTATAAAAATTTTTTTTAAATATATGAATAAACTTTTAGCATACTTAAGAGAATAATATTCATTGATTAAATAACCTCATTTGTAAACATGATATTTCCTTAATTTTCTTATGATTTAATAATAATTTTTAAGCTATAAGTTGATTCAACATACATCTCAGTTTAAAGCACTGGCAGAGGACACGGCTCATTAAAATGCGCCTAAGAAAAATCAAGCTGATTACTCATTTTTCTGCATGTTTTTAATAAGACTAAAGGATATGGGCTGATAGTAAAAAACGTAAAAAATAACAGGCCTTATAGAAAATATTAAACTCTTACAATTAGCTAGGTGCACATCAAAATAACGGTGAAATATACACAACTTTATATACTCTAGTCTTTTCTTAAATAGCTTGATTTGTACAGATAATATATCTCTTATTAAACTTTATAATTATTTAATAGCTATCATTAACTCATAAATTGATTTAGTATATTTCTCGATTTAAAGAGCTGGCGGCAAAACAAAAATCATGACTTAGCACCTAAGCGAATTCAGGCTAATTGAACAATCATTCATATAGTTTCTAATTAGCCTAAAGGCATATCGGCTTATTATAATAAACCCAAGAAGCCTCGCTGAATAGAAAATACTAGTGGCCGTACCAATTACCCAGGCGCATATTTAAATAGCGATTTAATTAGCATAAGGTCAGATTTTAAGGTCTAATTAGCCAACAATATACACATTTCTAAAAATAACAAGAAGCCACATAGGTTTATTTTGGCTTGAAAATAATAAAAAAAAACTATTTTTAAACTTGTCAAAGATTCTGTCATTTTAATCTTAAAGGAAGCGTAAAAATTTTGTTATTTTTAAGATACAATGGCGGAAAGAAAATATTTCTTTTTATCTGTACAGAAGAATCATAAATCAAAAGTAAATACGTGTCTTCAACCTCAGTGTTTACCGTTACTTCCATTTTTGTTATCCAATGACGCGGATAGTATGATTTATTGCCAAACTGAATCACCGGCTAATTTAGGAATGTATTGTGTTTCGATAATAAGTGCTCGTTTGCTTTGAAAACGAAATCGAAAAATGAAAATTTATTTTTATGACAACGCAGCGTTATTTTCTTAAAATTTTTTTGTCGGTAAACGGTCCTTAAATAAAAATTTACTGAACTGCTTTGCGTGCGCACCAAAAAACAAAACTTTATAATGATTTAAAAATGTAAAAAAAAAAACGTGTGACACACTTTTGGTGCTTTTTCCTATTAATCATTTTCATTATTATTATTTCCAGCAGTTCAGAATATATAGGTGATTAAGTTATTTTAAATATTTTTTTAACAATGGAGTTAATCGATCACACTAGTCAAGATGCAAATTAGAAAACTAGAGCGCGGAACGACAAAAAGTACCTGGGATAAATGCGTTTTCAAATGTATGTCAAAAATTGAATTCTATGAAAACAAAAAAAAATTTATTTGATTTTGACGCTTTCCCCCTATCATCATTGTCATAGACGTTTTCCAGAAGTTCTTAACAAGAGAATAAGTATTTTTTTTTATAGAATTAATCGATTAAATTGGTGATATTAAACAAAAATCAAAGATTTCATGTATACATCTATTTTTAAATCTTTTAGCTCGCTTTGGGCCAACTGATTAATTTCTGTTATTAGTATTGTAAGAATTTTAGTTTAAAATCCAACAACCACTCCATACTTGATGATCGTTTCCCTCCTCCAAGAAAATTCCCTATTGTGAAACGAGTTGAGCAAAAATTCATTTCCCGGTTAACAGTTTAAGTAATCATTAGTCTTAGGCAGTAGTTGGAACTAACGCGCCACAGGTAATGAAACTACTGTAGTCGTAATTTTTTTTTCATAGTTTGAAGAAAAATTTACAAACTTTTCTTAAAAAAAAACCAACAGTACATTGAGTAGAGCTATACAAAAACAAAAAAAAAAATCATTAACTTGTACCGATTCCAGGAAAAGAAACAAGGTTAAAAATCAACTGTTTTTTTTCGAATCTCATAGGTGCAAATCTTAGGTGAGTAAAAAAAAAGTCAATGAGCCCATAGAAAGAGTCATGAGAATGTCTCCAATATACTTTTTTCTAATTACCTCTAAACACTTAACAAAATCACAAATATTTAGGCACACTATTTAACACTTAAGAAAATCATGAATATAAAGACATAGAAAATTAAAGGTATAAGGGAAAAAAACTCGTATAAAAAGGTTTTAAAATAATAAATGTGCTCTTTTTTGATAAACACGAATAGACATTTTTTAATTATTTCCCATGTTTAATAAACCAATTTGTTTTTCTAAACTATTTTTTAAATAATTTCTTTCTTTCCATCTTCAAATTTTGAACATAAATTTAAAAGGAATTCTCTGCTGCCAAACCACTCTTCCAAATGTAGTCATATAGTGGCAGCATTTCAAAAGAAGTTTGTACTCACTAAATTTAAAATCAGATGTAGTTAGTCACATTTGTAATAAAATAGCAGTTGTTAATTACCCCTGCTCTTACGCACACACTTTTCAAATTAACATTTTAGTCTGTGAGTGGAAGTAAGTACTATTGAATCCATTTACCTTGCAGAACTTGATGATTTTTTGCGACGTTTCTTCCGTTTTCCAAGCTCTGACGAACTCGAGAAAGTACGGGATGCCAAAGAACTTTTTTGTGCCTGGTTTAAGTCTCTTTGCAAATAGGCATTTGCATCTTCGGTGGAACTTCCCGATTGGTGTTTCAGAACATCTGGTAAACTTTTCGACAGGCGTTTCTTGAAGTCACCCTTATTTTTTCGAGACACTTTCAACCGGCAGCTATTCACACTAAAAATATTTTAATAATGTATAAGAATGTAATAACACAATCATAAAAAATTATTCGCATTTAGAAAGAAATTGCTTGCAACAACTATATGAAAAAGTTTATGACCACCAATCAAACTAGAATCCCTAAATCTAAAAGATTTTAGAATGTAACGACATACGAGCATTTATCTGATTGGCTGAAACGAAATGAAACAAAAATGTTCCCGCAAGCTTAATATGGTGACATTGGCAATATATGGTGATATAGCTTAATATGGTGATATCTTCATTGAGCGGAATCAAAATTACAGTAGGTATTCTTTTTCCCTTGCTTAACATTAACTACTTAAAGTATCGATTACTCGCGAGAATGATATTAATTAATCACTTATTTTATGAAATAATTATATTTTAAAACATATGATAGCTATACTTAGCATTTTTATAAAATTATTTATGTTGTTATTTCGCATAACAGTTAAATAACAATAAACAGTTAAATTGTTTGATAACTTCTTAGCTAGAAAAACTAACTTTTATTTCTAATAAAATTTGTATGTGACTAAAAATAAAGTTATATTTATTAAGGAAATTGAATCAGTTAATCAATAATTTATGCAATATTAGTGTAAAAAAAATTAAAAAAACGCTGTTTAATATATTTAACATGAGTTTGACGCTGAATGAGAAAGCGAAACTTGATAGAAACTGCAACAAATAAGGTTACCAACTCCGATATCTTATTCTTTCATACAATTTTGAAAATGTTAGTTGTTAATAAAGCAAAATCTTCGGTTAAACATCTTAAATTAGTACTCCTATTAACATTGGTGCCGATTTTAGACAGAATATGTTTAGTATTCCTGCAGAAGGGTGTTGGAGGTTGTACAAGGGTTTGCTTGATATTGATCACCACGTGTACTTCCATTTTCTTGGTATTTTCCAATCATTTTCAAGAAATGCCTTATCAAGGGTTAAATCCAAGGAACAACTTCTGGCAAAGGCGGCATGAACTTTTATTTATATCAGTCAAATGCGTCCGCTACAATCAACGCGTGAGGAGATGCTATGATCTGCTCACATGATGCAATGTATTGAATTGGCAACAAGTCTTAAAGCTTTTGTTCACAATTTTAATATCGGCTCTTACATATGCAAAAATATGATTAGAAAATAGTAACTTAAGTTTAATTTTGTACTAAACATAGACAAGAATAATATAATTACGCAAGGAACCATATTTTGCTCTTATGGAATAAAAATCCTAGAATTAACTTTAAAAAAATAACAAATAATAAAGAAAAATTATGTTTAAAATAAAGATCTCGAGAGCGAAAAAATAATTCTTTCTACAAAAATGAATAAATAGTCAATATATCGAGCAAAGAAAAAAAAACACACTCAAGATGTTGAAATTTTGAAGTTTGATTTAAGTTCATAAGTTAGAGCTTAGTGGAAGAACCGGCTAAGTGACGCTTGAGTAAATGAGCATTAAAGATTATACGTTCCTTTTCTGGTAGCTCAATCTTTATTTCTTTAGTACGTTTGTAAAGAAATAACTCACAAAATTTTTTGGGGTCTATTTATTTCATTCTGTTTTATAAAGTAGATTTTAATGATTTTTGTGCTTAGCATTTGCTTGTTCTCACGGAGGCTTTTTAAAGTTTTTCATCGACTATAATTTTGCGTGAAGAGATATATACGTATATTTAGGTTTATATTCATGAAATAAAATTTTAGTAACCTTAATTTGGAACAAACTGGCATGAAATTTTATCTAGCCTTGTTAGTACAATTGCAGAATTTAAAAAAAAAAAAAAANTTTTAATAAAAAAAAAAAAAAAAAAAAAAAAAAACTCTTATAAGTTTATGAATAAAAATGACTTTTCCAACACGTCAAATTTTAACTCTGAATTTGAAATTTTTTTTTTCGGTGTATAGATCGGCTCTTAAAATGATTTTTTACTCCAAATTTATCAGTTGATAATTCTCTTATATGCACTCTAAAAAATTTAAAATGGTAGTAACATTATAATTCTTTTAATACTATTGTGTTTGCAGCTACCGGAATATTTTACTTAAGTAAATACATGGATCCGAAGGTGGCAGGCATGAAATTTTATTTCGATAGTGGATGTTTTTTTAAGAAATGTTCAGCTTTTTAGAACAAAATTAATACCAGTCATTAATATTCCAGGTGTGTACGAATCCTGTTGAGCTAATTATCGAATGTTATTACTTTTTTATGTTATCCTACTCTCTGTACATTTTTCTATACATCTCCATAATTTAAAAATTCAAAGACATAGTTTTATCGAAGCAAACCAGTATATAATGATACTTTAAACAGCAAAATATCATCGGCACCGCCTACAATTTTTTTCATATGGAGAGAAAAATTAAATTATAACTGTGATTTAAATATTAGGTATTATATAATAACAAAAGAAAAAATACTGGCTGAGAAACTGGAATCTCGAGTGTTTGATCGACTATTAAGTTATGTACTTAACTACTTAGACCACAGCGCCGTTGTCTAGATTGAAAATTAAATAACGAAAAAGTCTTGCTTAAAGTTTCAATAAAGTTCCTTTTCTTGAAAATGGCAAGCCAGTGCACTCAAATACTTAAGGGTTATTACCCTAAATTTGTACATACTAATACAGCGGGCCAGGATAGNTACAATTTTTTTCATACAGAGAGAAAAATTAAATAATAATTGTGACTTAAATATTAGGTATTATATAATAACAAAAGAAAAAATACTGGCTGAGAAACTGGAATCTCGAGTGTCTAATCGACTATTAAGTTATGTACTTAACTATTTAGATCACAGCGCCGTTGTCTAGATTGAAAATTAACTAACGGAAAAGTTTTGCTTAAGGTTTTAAAAAAGTTTCTTTTCTCGAAAATGGCAAGCTAGTGCTCTCAAATACTTAAAGGGGTTATTACCCTAAATTTGTACATATTAATACAGCGAATCTCATTTCAAAGTGAATTTCATGTGTTCCGCTAACCATAAAATAATGCATAATCAATTTTTCTTTTTGTTATAAAGTGACATATGTGACGAACAGTTTATATTCAATTAAATTTAAATTAAAAAGCACGTAACAAAAGAATAATTACATTAATTACATTTTAATTTTCGACTGTTATATTATTATATTACAATGGATATTACAATAATAAGTAATTATTACAAATCCAATTAAAAAAAATTTCGTCTGATACCACATTTTATTTGCATGCGAAACATTAAGTTATGGAAATTTTTTTTATGTCATTTGTATTTTTCCATGGTCTGTGAGTTCTAAGGTAAATAACCGCCTCGGTCATTGACGCTGGCTCGATAATATTGATCTCTAAGTAAATACGCTTGAAAGAAGGTCTGTACGTGCCATTGTATTCTTAGGAAAACATATGTTTTTAAAGACAAAGAATATGGACACAAAAAGAAACAATAATACAGTTTTACAAAATATACTCCTGTAGAAGAGGCAGGTAGCAGTGTAAAAACAGTGTAACGGTATGTTTTAAAAATAATACGTGCAAAGTTATGTGACCTAAGGGCAACAACTTTTAAATGAAAAACTGAAAACGTTTAATTGGAAAAATTTTTCCAACTGTGGAATATGTACTCATGAGTTTGTAGTCAGTTTAGAAAATAAATTTCAATAGTTTTGGGCGATTTATTATTTTTTGATGAGATATTTTAAAAATAGCATCTTCGACAGAATAAAAATGCGAAAAAAGTGCACAATATGGTGCAATATGAAACACTTTTTTTGAAGTTTAAAATTTCAAAATTTCAAGTCGTTGAAAACTCATCATTGAATTTACCATTTTTAAGTGAAATCGATTGTCATCTGCCTTTGGGAGTAAATGATAAAAACTTTAAATTAAAGGCATAAATATAAAACAAATTTTAATTTTTAAAACATGAAAAGAAATGAAATTTAATATCTAGGACGTAAAAACTTTAATTTGTATTAAAAAATATGTAGATTTTTAACCCAATGTTTAGGTAATGCTTTTATGTAGATTTTGGGAAGCTTATGTTAGTTATATTTCGTACATAATTTTTTTTCTTAGCTTTGTCTTTTCGAGCTAAAAACTGAAATGTGTTATATGTTTATACGTCTAAAAAATTTATTTACTTTTTTAGCCAAAAAAAAAAGCATTACGCTCGCTCTATTTGGGACATGTTTTGGTAACTATTGTCATTTTATCGTCAAATAAAACTTAACATCAATCAAAATTTTGACCAATTTCCGATTAATTAGATTGCTCAAATTTTAACTGGGGATCAATATTTCATGCTAATAAGAGTTGCATTTTCTCTTAAATGGTTCAATAGAAATATTTTATCATTTAATAGCCAATCATAATTTAGACGACTTCAAAAAGTTAACTAACAGCTAACTAAAAAGACGATAATAATAATTTTAAAACTACGTTTGTGGACAGGTAAGGAAAAAATTATTTTTTCATACCAAAACTGAAAAACGTGAAGCTCTCTATGTTCGTAATAAGCAACTTATCACTAACAAAAATCCCTAATATCACATGCTCCGAAAGTAATACATTATACTATTTCGTGTTAGGTGCGATAAAAATAAATTATTTCTGCTTTTTTTCCTATAAAAACGTAGTTTTTAAAATTTTGATTTCCTTTTATCGCTTTATTCCTTTAAGTTATCTATCAATTTGTTTATGGCACGTTGTCGAATATAGTCTTTGTTTAAATAAGCAATAATACAACACAAAACAAATAACCATTCTACAATTGTAATACACAGGCATGCTCACGCGTAACACTCGTTGGAGCTGGAAGGTATGAAATGGCCACTGGACAATTCAGGTCAATTGAAACTGCCTTATTTCAAGTATGAAATCACGCTGCAAGGCCTGTATATCTGTAAGAGGTCACCATACCTCCTATTAACCCTTTTTTTTGTTTTTCCTGCAACCGCTGATTCATACCTTCCGACTCCAACGTGTGTTACGCACGATCATGCGTGTGTATTACAATTGTAGAATGGTTATTTGTTTTGTATTGTATCAATGTATGTACAGATCAAATTTCATTAATATCGGTCCTGTAGTTCAAGAGATAATCGACCCAGTCTACAAATTCTCTTAATTTCTTAGACCAGTTTGCTTGCACCATTTATGAAAGCAGTGTAACTAGATATTGGCATTAGACATGGAGCTCTAGAGGACCCTTAAGAATGCCTATTAGTTCGTGGCGATCCGATTAGTAGTTCAAATTTTATAATGCATGCATAGTAATAAATATGCTTACTTTTCTTTTCCACTCGAGTAGCATGCTCGCAAATCCCCTTCCGATGATGTTTTCGGGGCACTCAATCTCAGTTCTTCACAGCTCACGGTCGAATCACGGTAATCAGTCTTTTTGAAATAACTTACACTCTTGTTTCTACTTTCAGAGTCTGGATAAGTGAGTGACGAATCCAAATGTGACACAGACACGCACGAATCAAACTCAACAGTATCCGAATCAGTTCGAATCGATGTCGAAAGGTTTCGGACAACAGTTTCAAGTGACCCAACTGTATTGAAAGAATCTCTTCCCTCCTTTGAGAAGAATGAACTGTCATCAAGGGGTGAAAAGGACAAAACATTACTCTCATCGGCACTAGAAGATGTGTATTCTCCACTTGCATCGCACGAGGAAAAGTCGTCGTATGCTTTGGTATAATGGGGGTGTGATGATGACCCGAAACGAAATAGAGACTTTTTTGGAATGTTTCTGTGATGTCCATTCCAATTATCGGAGCACAGATTTAGCCACGACTGCACATGGTCTGATGGAAATGGATTGGAACTGGTTGAGTCACTAGCGCGTTTTCTTTTTAAATTCTGATGATTTGTGTCCTCGTAGGATGAGTAATACGATGCATTCAAGGGGGTTGAAGTACGTATTTTCTGAGACACAGATGAAGAATGACTGAAGTCAAACGTTGGGTTTATGTGAGGATTGAACACAAAATTATTTTCATGATCTGAATGATGATGATTGTGCGACGGCAGATTAATGTTATCGGTGGTTTTAATAGAAGGTACTCTCTTTATCGATACGTTATTCAAATCCATGTCTTTAGTATCGTTATCGCTATCGACAGATATCATTTTGTAGAACACTTGTGCTGGCTTTGTAAATGACATCCTGTAAATAAAATTTTAAAAAATGTAAATTATTATTTAAAGGGCATATTTAATCTCCATTAACATAAATTGTATTTAAGCATAATTCATGCAACTGAACAGTTCACTTGAAGAGCAAATAAAATAACAATAAAAAATATACATCAGCTAAGAAAATGGGATAGAATGCGAAACAAAATGAACCACCTTGAATAACTTTTTATCTAATGTTGGGATCTTCACTTTCTAGGACATTTATCTTAATTATTCATAGATGCAACCTCAAATGTGCGAATTAGTATTGATGATATTTTTAGTTACGAAATGACACTCAAAAACGTACATTATTTGAATAAACATACCTTTTTTTCAACGTATTCGGATTTCTGACCCCCCAAAATATAGGGGGTAGGAGAAATTTGTGAAATATGGTGCCATTACTTTGACCAGGAGAGCTTTCAAGTTTGAATCCCTTAATGTTAATTGTACTTTTTGCATATTTCACGATATCTCGATAACTTTTTAAGAGAATTGAACAATTTTTGAAAACAATTATGAAATTTGCTTATCTAAAGATAATTCCATGCAAAATATAATTTTGAGTAAATATTTATTATTTTTTCAAAATTTTATATAATAACAGTCGAAAAAGTTCTGATAAGTAAGGTGCATAATTTTTTACTTCATTTTAAAGAATGTGATGCTACATGGCAAAATTCAAAATTTGAGGAAAATCGGTCAAATAGTTCCTGAGTAATCGAATTTCAAAAAAAACTCACTTTTTTTTCTTCCAAATATTAGATCAAAAGTAATTCAGAGTGGTTCATGTTTTTGCGCACTGTACGCTGTTAGAAATTTTAAGGCATGTTGAACCTTAATAAAACTTAAATTTGCTGAAATCTTATTGTAGTGTCAAGTTGAGTCAAGATACTGTATTAGCTTAACTTGATTACAGATCACAATCTAATCAATTTGATGTTTTGCCTTTAATCGTATATTTATCACATTTATGTGACGTGACCTCTGTCGGATTAAATCATCTCTTTTTTTATGTCAGTTTGATACACCTTCACGAGTAGGATGAAAGATAAGAATGGTAAGAACCATTCCTGTATTTACTCAACTGATGTACCATTGTGACACCGAAACATAATAAGAATTAATAAGAATTTCACCCTCTGTAAACGTTTCTTTTTTATGAAATTTAAAGGATACTAAGATTCATAATGAATAGTGATTCAGTTATATACCTTATTAATGGCTACAGTTAATTTGAAATGTATTATTCCTTTAGAACACCAATATTATGGTTCCAATTTAAACTAGTGTTTTGAGAGTGTGTGGAAGTGTCAGAAACAAAACACACCAACCCTCACACTAGAATCTCTCCTATCCGTATCGAACTTGTGGTTTGATATTTTAATTAAAGTAATAATAATGATGATGATTATAATAATTATAATGGCATAATATAAATACAAATTGTAACAATTAACATTTGAAAAACATTTTAGATCATTGTAAAACTAGTTTATTGTAGGCCCTTTAAAAGCATGCATATGATGTTGAAGAAATTAGATATTTAGAGCAATATGGTTACTCAAGTTGAGGATATTTATACAAACCTAATATTGAACAGACTTTTTTTTTAAAAAAAAAAACAGTAAATTAATAAAATAAGTCGAATTTTAACAAAAGCAATATGCAATTTTGGAGTTCTGTTGAAAACTAAAGAAGCTTTTTTAAATTTATCTTTTTTCATTTAAACGCGTCTTAATTACAGACACGGCAAAACATTTGAATCAGAGATTATTACAAGAAGATATTTTTATTAAAATTCCATAAAATATGTTTTATATAAACCCATGAAATTTATAATACTGGATTTAAGATCAACGAAAATAATTCGAATGCAGACGTTTTTTTTCTAAAAGAAAAGCAAATATTTGCGATTACAGATTTAATTAATAATTTAAAGTTTAAGTAGTTTTGAACAATCAATTATAATTTTGATTTGATTAATAATAAAGTTTGAGTAGTTTAGAAGTTTTTGAATTGAAGTACAAAACAAAAATGAATAATGTGTTTTGCTCATAAAGTTCAAAAAAGTTTTCAGGTTCTTATTATTTTAAAAAAAAATTTAAAGACGCGTTAAAAATTGCTCCAACCAATTATTTTAATTTAGTTTTCTACATCTAAAAGTTTTTTTCATAGATTTTAAAATAATTAGTTATTGTATTTGAAAGCAACTAATATTTCATGTAGATCTTTTAATTAAACAAAATAAATTTAATAAATGCTAACAATACAATCTTAGGTTGATAAATAATTACAAGACAAATGTTATTTTAAGCGGTTATTTTACCATGGATCAAAAATTTCATTAAATAATTAATTACAGTAATTTATGAATACATTCCAAAGTTTTGTTTACTGTTTAGTTTGAAGCTATTAGCAACACATCTAATTAAATTATGCAGGCTTTAGTCATTTGATGGTTCATGTTCAAATATTTTGAAACAAAAATCTTTTTTTTTAAATAATTATATATTTCAATATTAAACTTGAAACCAATATTTCAAATTTGGAATTAATGATGAATTTGTTTCCAAGGGAGTAAATTTAATAACACATAATTTATATTTACATTAATAAATTGGATATAATAATAATAATAATACGGGTATGATAAGAATTGTAAACAATACAAGAATTTTACTTACATTATACAGATAAATTAAAACTAGAAGCATTTGTTCGAAGACCGAAAGAAAAATTAATACAAAAAAATTAGATAAAATTAATTTACTGAACCTAATCGCAACACATTTTCAATTTTTTTTAATTAATACACAGATAAATAAAAAAAACAGATAACAACGTGTAGTGATACTTGCTCCAGGTGCGGTATTGGTCCTCATTAAACTGTTCTACCGTAAAGTGCTCGACTTCGCGTGCTGGTCGTCGGGCTACGGAAGCGAAGGTGCCATCCCCTCTGCAGAGGATCAAAATTGTGATGGCATGTCTTCAGATCATCCTCAGGAATGTTTTCCAGACCGTCGCCAATAGCCCATTGTGCAGCTCTAGTGCGACGTAAATGAACAAATCAATCAATCAATCAATACGCTTACAGCAAGAGAATTTCATCACGATTATCGAATGACAACAGCTAAGTTTTTTTCATCGTAGCGTGATCCTCGCAGTAAAAAAAATAAATTAAAAATTAAATAGAGCGTATTTGAGCATGAACAATAGCGAGGCTAAACAAATGTGAAAAGAGCAAGATAAAACATACAAATCTATATGCTTTCCTCTTGCTCATCATGGAAAGTAGCTGCACATTAAAAATACGCAAAAGGTATGCTATAATATTCTCTTCAATTTTGCCGAGCGCCGTCCTTTTTCAGGCTTTAGACATCGTCTCATCGTCGTTGATATACATTCTGATTAAGAGCCGCGATGGTTCTGGGGATAGAGCGTTCGCCTTCCAATGACGCGAACCGGGTTCGAATCCCAGTCGATACGAATTCCGCATCCGGCTTGCACCAACCACAGTGCTGACGCGAAATATCCTTAGTAGTAGACGGATCATGGGTTAGAGTTCCCTTGCAGTCAGACTAACCATGGGAGGTTCTCGTGGTTTTCCCCCCATGTAACGCAAATGCTGGTTAGCTCCATCAAAAAGTCATTCACGACGGCAAATTTCTCCCAATACTCGATCCAGGATCCCTTGTCTTCTGGATTCGGTTCAAAATTGCAAGGCTACGGAGTTGAACATTAGTAGTCGTAAACCCATAAAATTGGGTCTGCTGTTCAACGACGGTTATAAAATACATCCCAATTTTCACTTTAATAGTTCTGTTCTTCATATATTCTATGAATTAAACCGCGATTCAGGAGATAGAGCATTAACCTTCCAATGAGGTAAACCAGGTTCAAATCCCAGCGGTGCCTGTCTGATACGAATTCTACTCCCAATTTGCACCGGTCACAGTGTTGACGTATATATCCTCAGTCGTAAATGGATCATGAGAATTCACTTGCCCTAGGGCTAACTGTGAGAGGTTTTCGTGGAATTCCTCTTCATGTAACGCAAATGTGGGTTAGCTCATAAAAAATGTATGTCCTACGCGAAGGCTATTTTGTCCCAATGCTTAATCCAGGACTTCCCTTGTCTTCAGGGTTGGGTTCAAAATTACTAAACTACGAAGTTGAACATTAAGTTTTAAACTCAGACAGACGTGGGACGGCTGTTCAACGCCGGTTGTTAAAAAAAAAAAATCTATGCGTTGCCAGGAACCTGAGTAATTTTGGTAATTACAATTTGTTATTTATTAAAAAGAGTCACGCTGATAATAAATTTATGACAAGTTCACAGCATTTTATATAAACCTAATTGTAACTAAAGTACTGTTAAAAAAAAAAAAAAGAGTATTAAGTTACCTGTCGTGGAAATTGCAACTAGCGTCATCACTGTCAATCCCGCTCAAGCTGAACGGCATCTCATTTAAATCATCAAACACATCCTTATCCTTCTTACCAATATCAAAGTTAGTACAAGTTTCGAAAATGGTTTCTAAAAAATCAGAATCTTCACTGGCCAAACACGCATCCCCACTGGAGAAGTCCTCATCAATATTCAGTTTTTCTTCAAAAGACAAGGGCTCTTTAGAGCCTTCCGAACCTTCACCTGTAGGCTCAGTTGTGCATAATCCAGAGTCATTCAGGGAAGTTCCGCCCGAGGAAGAATCAACGGATGAACTTAGTTGACGGAATTGTTTGGCACACGCATTTTCAAGTTCTTCCTTCAAACTTAAACTCGTCTTCACGGGCTTATCGTCGAAGTATTTGTAAACTCGGATTTTGAAGTAGCGATCGCCGCCAATACCAACACCATCGTCGCTAGATAAGTGTGTTGAACTTTCACTCGAATAGCCAACGTCCTGGATAATTTCGAAATTCGTGAAATCGTCTCCATACTCAGCCTAAAAATTAAAAACAAATAAGTGCCCAACATTTTTTTTAAATATCGACATTTTTTTTTATCTTATCAATATCAAATATATAAGAAAAAGATCTTTTGCTTACTATAAATGTAGAACAATTAAATTACTTGTAATAAACAAAAACCTTTTCATATGAAAACAGCAGAAATTCCCACAGTAAGTAGTACTTGAAAAATATTTAATACATTTAAACATTACAACAATTATATTACATTACAATACAACATTATATTTAATATTATATTAAAACATTTTAAACAGTTGTAAACCAAACAGCAGGTTTCAGAGCATTTATATCTTAAGAATTTCGAATAATATGTTAAATTTGAGTTTAAAATAATCGATATTGAATATTTTCTACACATAGGAGAGTTTCATTTCATAAATTTATTTATTCTTCTTCTAAAATTAAAAATAAAATTTAAAGGTCAATATATTTAAAGCTAATTAGTGGTGTACATAATTTTTAAGCGTATAACTAATAAAAAGTGTCATGTGGCTAAGCGCTAATAATTTTTAATACAGGTACACTTTATTTTAGACTTTTGATATAAAACTTCATTTAAAATTTGTGTGTTAATGTATGCAATTAGCAATTACTGCATTACTTATTAAGGTTTATAATAATTACGTTTTTTTTCATTTAATTTTCAATTTTATAACTCATCATGAAAAATAAAATATTGTATTTGAAAATACAATTAAAATTTATTACATAATTAACTATTTAAAAAATTGTATTTCAAAGATGACTAACACTACAAAAGTCATTAATTAAAATCTATTAAATTTTAAATGCTACTTACTTTTAAAGCAGCTATCCCAGTAGTTCCAACCATAATGCACTTATCATTCATAGGAACAAAGTCACTACACAATATACCAATATCCTTCGTTGGACTCTTTTGTAAAATGTTATGACAACACTTATTATTTACAACACGAGAAGTCTTATCCATGGTTTTTGGTGTCCTCACAGATGTCCAACGATCAATTGACAAACGGCGATGCTTGTTCAAAGGCCCTTCATCAGAATCTATGTCAGAAGACTCTTGACTTTTCTGCAAAGAAGAAATTGATTGAATTATAAAAAAGCTGCCGATTGTCTTCGATTTACGAGATGCTTAAAGGTTATAAATCAAAAGCTTCTATATACAATTTTAAAGGTGAATCGAAAGTTATTTAGAAATTAATATGGTCATATATCGTCGAAATTGAATGCAATAAAGAGTTTTTTTTCCTATAAATTTTTTAAATGAGTATAAAATTTGAATAACAGAATCGTAGTATAGTTTAGTTACATCTGTATTTTTTTATAATCGAATACTAACTTATAAGCAAGAAAATATAAAAATAGTATTAATTGAATAAATTGAAAAAGTTTCATCATATTCAAACTCAACAAGTAATACATAAAATTATACAATGAAATTAACGGATTTCAAATGAAAATTAAAAGTATTCGAAATAACTTCATTTGTTTTCTACATGGAATCAAAACTCCTTAATTACCACTTTTAACAGTTCAAAATAACGACAGATTTCAAGTATTTTTATTAACAAACAAGAAAAATGAAAATAAAAATGAATAACGGATATCATCATATTACTTATTCAAAAAGAAAAAAATCATAATTATTAGTCAAGAAATGTATAATTACAATACATCTTTTCTATCGAAAAGAGAATCAGCAAAAAAAAAAAAAATAAATAAATAAATGCTTAATTCAATTAAAATTGTATAACTTACAGAAAAGTAAAAGAAGAGAACAACCAAATAAATTAAACTAAAACAGTTTTATTAAAAGGAAACACATTTAGTTAATAAATCGAGATGATAGAAAAGTATGTTATCATGGTTCAGATAACAATGGTTGCAGAATGTACCTAAGAAGATAACAAAACATCTGTTTCAGCGAAAAAATGCATTAAGCGTATTTAAATCAACAATATACCTGTTGTTACTCAGAATTTCGAGAACTATTTTTAATGCTTTAAATTTTATCAATTTAATAAAGAAAAATGTATTACTAATATATTGCTAAGACTAAAATTTTAAATTTTTCGTATGAAGGGCACAATAATTTTTGTGAGATTTCTTAATATTTTAAATTTATTAATTGAAAAGGTGACGGAAAACTAAGTGTGATGATGCTATCACAATCCACCCAAATTTGATACAGTCTGGCTCTCCTCTAAATTTAAAAGCATTAATTTTAACGGTGCCTTGCACCTAGTTTATCTTAACTACAACCGGGAGTTGCGCCAAGCCGGTTCCCCGGATGGACGCTATCATTCAAGCATTCGAAGTGTGTTTACGCTCTGTGTTGGTGATCGAGAAATTTTTGTAAGATTCTCTTTCCTTCTGTGCGTGCTCGTTTTTCTGAATTTTATGATTGTCTGCAAATTGCTAAGGTTGCGCATCTTATGTGAATCTAGTAATTAGGATATAACAAATTTTATATATATTTATTTTTGAGATATAACCAGCCGAGCATGCAGAGAAGCAGACACGTGTTCTCGGATAGGAAATACACGAGGTAATCCAGTGTTCCTTTTTCCAATGAAGATGTTTTTGTTGAATGGTGATAAATAAATGACTAGCTGTGAAGAATCCATGACTCTTTACCTTTTTTCCTTGGACCAGTGTTCCTGTGGCCCCACTTATACGACACGTGCAAACTAAGCATACCGTGTTCTGCAATCCCCACTCTTAAAACTTATTTTAAAAAATTTTTGTTAAAAAAGAAGTCAAAAGTAGAGTTAGCCATATCTCGAGAACTTTTCAGGCGAATGGAGAAAAAAATAATTCGTATAATTAAGAAATTCGTGCATCTTAAGAATACTTCCATGCAAAAAATAACTTTTAGTAAATATTGATTTTTTTTATTATTTTATTTAATTAAAGTTGAAAAACGTTTGAATTGTAAGGAATGCATTTTTTACATCATTTCAAACAATTCAATATCAGAAGAAAATATACAAAAATGGAGCGAAATCAGTTGACTAACGAACTATGAAATAGTTGTATTTTTAAAATTCGGTTTCTCAGCAACTATTCGACCAATTTTGCTAAAACTCTGCGTTTTACCATTTAGAATTGAATTCTTTAAAGTGACGTTAAAAAGTTGCAAGCTTCACGATTAAAAAGTTTTTCGACTAATACTCTTTATTCACATATTCTTGTCAATTCAGATTTTTAAATAATCCCATAAAAGAAAAATATTTGCCTTTAAAATGATAATTTGAAAGGTGAAAAAAATATTAAATTTTACATCTTCCATATAATTTTTATTTATAGACAGATTCAATAATGTGAAAAACGATACAAAGAAGTTACAGTAACTATATTGTAAAAGGACGACGAATATAGCATTGATTAATAAACACTTTTTTCTCTCCATGAAATATGATTTACTTAATTTTTTTCAAATGGGATATAAATATTTGTAATAACCGTAAAGGGAGTCGGTAGGGAATATACAAATAATGCTAAAATTGTCATTTTACGAAGTACCTTTTCTCAGCACCTAACTAAGATATTGCTTTAGTTTTTTTAACAGAATATTAACATATACACGCTATTAATACATATCTTTGGCAGATGTTTTTTTAAAAAAATTATGAACTAAAAGCTTTTAATTTTTCAAAAAGTTTAATCATTTTGATCAAATATCTTTCATAACTCAAAAAGTATTCCTGCCAACGCTAAAACATTATCACAGCATACAACTGATATAATCTGAAATATCTCCAAAAACTTTCATACCGATATAAATAGTTTCTTAGAGAAGGTAACTCTAATAGTTTTCAAGAAAATGTTCTTTCTTTTTTTTATTTTTTTTTTATCTCGCATAATTTTTAATACATTTATAACTAATTAAATAATTTAAATCTGTGAATATTCTAAAGGTAATTGAAAAACGCTCATAGTATTTTACTTGTAATTTCGTTATTTGCAACAAAAGTAAAATCTAAATCATGAAAAATATTTCAAACGTGCAAAACATTTCATGGGGAAAAATCAACATGATTATTTAGCAGGTAAAAATTGTGTCATGCATTAAACATTTAAAATTTTATCTGGTAATAAACTTCCCTGAAAATATCAAAAATTACAACACAGTGTCATAATCCTTGTGTCATAAATTATACTTAAGAGTGACCGTTAAATGAACCGGTTTATGGATATCAGAAATCCTTTGACATATCCTCATATAAATCAGTGAAAGGATTATTTGACGATAACCATTCTTAACACTTTCCTTCCATTGATTTCTCTTTTTTTTCATAAGGAATAAAATGATAATGGTTGATTTATGATTAAATAGATATGTGTCATTTCCCTTTAAAAAAGAAACTATAATAAAAAAATCTTCTCTCAATGCTTGTTTGCTCGAAATTCTTAAAAGAAATTATTCTATTAAATATTGGTTTTCAACTTTAAAAATGATTCGGAATGAAATTCGAGAGATAAATATAATTACTGTATCATATTTTGAATTAAAAAATATGTATCTATTTATATTCTTTTTATGTGGTACTATTATAAATCAAGTTGCATTTTATTGTTTCCACAGGAAACACAAATAATTTTTTGCAAAGCAGAGTATATGTTTTAATAGCAGACATTCTGTAATTGAAAGAAATTGATAGATGAAATGATTAATTTTTATCATGCTTGGAAAATCCATGATACATTTTATCTAAATTATAAACTAATGCAAATGATATGAATATCTTTATTAATGAAAAAAAAGGAAAATGAATTTCATGCTTTTATGATGCTTTTAAATAAAGGTAAAATTAGCTATGTTTGTTGAGTACATATTTTGCGTTATATAAACAAATTTTATTTAACATTTTGTTTTAAAAAAATGCGTAAATAAAAAGGATACATAGAAATACATTCTATAAAATAAAAAGGATCACATTTACAAGTTGATCAAATGCAGTGGTTTGTACTTCTTCCATAAGAAACTACTAATTTATTCTTATTTGCTATTTGCTTAAAAAAACAACTTTGATTTATAATAACGATAGTTAATTTTAATTATAAATAATGTCATGTTGACTCCAACGAATAATGGAGTCACTATTTACAGTTAACAGAGATTAGGAAACAGCATGTAAAAATTATATTATATCGAAATAAGATTAGGTTGTGTTTCTGGTATCCAGGGCTAAAATTTATAACTAACTGATTGAAACAGATTAGAAACAGAATAAATCAGTAAAGCCAAAGTCGCATTTTTTCAAATTTTTAAACCAAACTTAAATATGATGGTTATTATTAGGTAATTATTTTTTAATGCAGTTTCTGAAATTATCTATGTTGTAAATATTATTACAAATTTCAAAAAAGTATACTTGGTGGCGAGCGAAGCGAGCACATAAGATTGTGCTATCAAGGCTTATCATGTTTGATGGATGTTTTTATAAAATTAACAATTAATTAGTATTAACGTAACAATTAACGCTGGGCCCATGTCCAAGAGGTCGTGGGTTCAATCCTCACCGGCCGAAGACTCCCCGTGTAGTAAATGGTGACTGATGCACGTTAAATCTGTCGATTCGCAAAGTCCTCCATGTTCCCATAACAAATCAATACCTCAGGGGGTACTTATCCAGGAGTTTCCTTGTCTTCTGGATTGGTTCAAAATTACAAGGCTACGGAGTTGAACGTTAGTAGTCGTAAACCCATGCAATTGGGTCGGCTGTTCAACGACGGTTATAAAATAAAATAAAACGTATCTAGTGGAATTAAGTGTGACATAAAATGATGTAAGTAAAATATTGATGATAACTTATTTAAGTGGAAAAAAAAACAGAAATTTAAGATTTATGCCGAATACCGCACACATTTGGTTTTATTAAATGAAAAAATATTTCTTTCATACTACTACCAATTTCTCTATTTTGATTAAGTGTTTTCTGTATTTAAAATAGCTTATGAGAAAAACACGACCCATATTTTGAGGAAAAAACATTTTGAAGAAGAAATAAATGTTTAAAATGTTTGTGCTGACTGAAATATTTGCATAGATTTTGCAAAATTTAC